AACCCTGGCACGCGGCTGGGAAAGCCCGTTCCCTTTCGACTCCTTCACAGCTGCAGCCCTGTCAGCAAAAGAAACGTTTCCGAAGCATTTCCCACCGCGCGGAGAGCAAGAGCAGCCCTGGGGGCGCTAGCATCAGGGAAAGCCAAGTCAGCTGGAGACTGACAGGCCCATTTCGGGACAATGCTCGAGATGTCAAAACTCCCCGGCGGGTTTTGTTTGCCGCTGGCAGGAAAAGCTGCGAGCTGTCGAGGGAGTCTGCGGAGCAGGATGATGTCGAAACCACCCAAGAGCAGATCAAAGGGCTTGTTGTTCGAGCCTGTCTCTTTTCCGCTGGCAGCGACGGGAGAGGTCGCCCCAGACATCAGCACGCTGCCCATCAAGAGCTCAGGCTGGACTGATCCGTCGGCATCAGGGAAACACCTGATCTTGGTTCATTAAAAAAAAAGCCCTCGTTTTGCTGCAAAACCACCTCGGATTGGGTGTCCTAACTTCCACGGGCCAACCGGGAACAGGGCTCCGCACGTCCTCACCCTTTAGCTGCGGTGGTGAGAGTCCTGGGGTTTGGGATCCAGTCTCATCCTTCTGCCCCGGGATCCATCTGGATCAGTATCTCTGGCTCCGAGCTGGCCCTTGCGGTACAAACGCCGGACCGGAGCCGCAATCAGGAGACCCAAACAGCCCGATGCAGCTGCAGATGCCATGCAAGCAAAACTCCCCGTGCAGCCCAGTGGAGGAGACCCCGCTCCCAGCCCCAGCTGCTCGGAGGATGGAGCTGAGTCCCTCTGGCCAAGAGGAATAAGCAAGCAGCTCCGCAGCTCCATGCTTGTATCGTCCTATCTGCAGGCCCTGTGAGCTCTGGCATGCAAGCCCGGTGCCAAACACGGTGCATTAGGATTGAATTGGGACAGGGTAGAGACCGTGTTGGCAACATCCATCAGCAGCGCTCTAGAAAGGGTGTCTCTAAGCATCAGGCCATGCCCGCACAAGCCCTCCCATCACTAATTAACCTCCTCGTTAATCCTTCGAGCCACCGTCCGCAGGACTCTGCTCCATCAATCGGTGCCTGGCGCCATCACGAGTCCCCCAGACCTGCGTGTGCTCCCGGGGAGCTCGGGGAGGACTCCTGCTCTCGTCTGCAAGTCGGTTGACTTCGGCCGCCCTTCCAAGAGCGCGGCTCCATCGCTTTGGAGTCACTAAAAGGCTGAAGACCAGGCTCTGGCGCCTGGGATGTTTGCACAGATATAGCCAAGAGCTGAGATCCTGTCCTTGGGGCCAGGATCTCAGCTCCAGCGGTGTCGAGGCAGAGGAACGCCAGTGAAGCTGCCGGGCTTGGGGCTTGATTTGCCTTCCATGGATCTCCGAGGGAATCCGACCCAGCCCCTAGCCCTGGGGAGGGCAGAGCAGGTTCTCCCCTGTTGACCAGGCTGAGCTCGAGGCTCCTGGTGATGACTTTGCCTCCTGAGCAGACAGGGACGTCCCCTTCGAAAGTCACAAACCAGGTCTTGCAACCGGAAGGAGAATTATCCCGCCATGGGGCTGACGGGTCTGGCCCGGGACTGAGCACACTCTCCCCTGCAATTGCAGCAAAACCCCAAGGCGACCAGCCCTGCGGAAAAGGCCCTTCTGCCCGTTACAGCTCGGCCTCACGTCGCCTGGGCCTGCGCCGATCCTGCTCCACCAGATGCATCGAAAATTGGGGCAACCCCCAGCTCTCCTAGACAGACACAACCCTAGCCAGCGCTCAGCTGGCACCCGTGGGGCTTCCAGGGTCCAAAGCAGATGCATGATCTGGGCCCCAAAGCAAGCCAGTTGCTTTGGAGTACAGTGGTCCTAATCCAAGGCAGCTCTCCAGGCTCATCTAATAGACCACATATGCCTAAATTTGCCAGCTCCCCGCCTGCCCGACAACCCCTTTGCATCCCCGGTTCTCCTCGAACACCTGTTGGCTTTGTGCACCGACCGCACAGAGGAGCACGCGTGGCCGTGGGTGAGGAGAGCCCCTTCGGCGTCCTCTTGCAAAGCAGGGTGCCTCCATAACGAGGTGCATCTCCTGCGAAGGATTTGAACATGACTAACTCCACCAGGCAAGTAGCTCGGCGCGCCTCGTTAGAGATGTTTCTAAATCAAGGGAACGCAAATCAACGCATTAGCAAATGAATTCATTAGCAGCAGATGCCGGAAGCCTATCAACACTCAAAGGCTGGGATGGATGAAGCTCCGTGGCAGGGACCTGACTCTGGCAGGGGACCAAGTGGATGTATATCTACTCCCTTCTCCCAGTGCTCCTGGGATCAAGGGCAAGGAGACGGGCACTTCGGGACCAGCCGGGCTCTGCAATAGGATCAGGATACATGAGCGGGTCTGGAGCAGACCCCGCTGTAAATGCACCCCAGATCACTTTGACCTTGTGCCCGAGCCAACCCCCTGGACGCAGAGGGAAGGCTTTCCCTCGGTGCAGCCGGCTTGGGAAGAGGCCTCGCACGGCACCTCTCAGAGGGGCAAGAACAGCCCCTGAGCTGCAGCACCGTCCTGCATTCACCGCCTCCAACCGGCCAGTCTTTGATCAGGCCCCTGAAGTTCCCCGCTGGGGCCAAGGCCAGAGGGTCTGATGGGAGCAAACTTCAGCCGACCCCAGGACCGGGAGTAATGGAAACCTCTATCAGAAAGCAGCTGGCCCCCTTCTGCAGATCCTCCCGGGAGCCACTGGTTGGTCGGGCACCCTCCCCGCCTGAAGGCGACGCAGCACCTGTTTCAGGGACCGGTGCAAAGCACTTCAAGCTGGGTGGAATAGGACAGCGCTTAGACACCTAACAGGTGGGCGCAGCTCTTGCCAAGGCTGCTTTGTGAGATGGAGAGCAGCTAGAAAGGCTCCACCAATCCACCTGCTAGCAGTCCTGCGTTTCCAGCCTCTCCTCGTCGCATGCCTCTCTTTCTGCCGCTTTCTTCTTCTGTTTTTTTGTTTTAAACTCACAAGCTCGGAAAACAAAATAAAAACCAAACGACCCGGTAACGAACCTATGGATATTATGCTTCCCCCTCCCCCCCTCCCCCACCTACGACATGCCATGCAAATATTGGAAGATTAAAACCCGTGCCTTGCGCGCGCCCCCCACCCCCAAAAAAACCATATTTACACCCAGAAGTAAAATACAGTGGGAAAGATCAGCTCCAAATATAAATAGCTTGCACTGAAATCTCTGCAGCGACCATCTGCCGCACGGTGCAGAGAAGTAGCAGCACACGCCGCCGGCAAAGGTTAGCACACATAAAGGGACCGGCGATCGGCGCGCGCGCGCGTGTGTGTGTGTGTGTGTGTGTGTTGTGTGTGGACGGGGGGGAGCTGGTGTAGCCCTCTCCCCAGACACGCGGAGGACCTGATGCAGTGTGAGCATCGCAGAGAGCAATGGAGAAAAAAGGGGCTTGGTTGTTCCACCCCCCGCTCCCGCTCCAGATGATGGGCCCTATATATCCCTCCTGGGTTTGGCTGCCTTCTGGTTGCAAAGCCATGTCCAGGGGGAGATGATGAAAGACATCCATTTGCCCCCCTAAGATGAACAAGGCAACGGGGAACCATCAGCAGCCCCCCTGGCCTTCCCCAATGGCCGGCGTCTGCTTGCCCCCAAAGGGACAGGGGCTCTCGGGACACTGCGGCAGCCGTCACCGATGGACAGCGAAGATCTCCCGGTGAGGCAGGACCAGGCTGGAGAGATGCACTCCCCACCATCCCCCACCGGCTCGGTGTCAGCCCATTGTCTGATCTGATTATTCAAATGAGTCGGCAGTGAAAACGCACCCGATTCCTAGCAGGACCGGGGAGGAGAGGAGGGCCGCTGCGC